TTTGAGAAAGCAGGATTAAACTGAACACTCCAGTTCCTCAATGGTCCCTCCAGATAATTTTACTTTCAGTTATTTTGCTACAGAATTTAAAAATAACTGAAATATAAAAAATACAGAAATATAAAAAACAACATTTTTTATATTTCTATCAACGTCTTCGTGTATTTACTTAAAGAAATTTTAGTGATTCAAAAAAAATCAGCCTCGCCGTAAAAAGTACAAGTATTTGCATCATTCTTTTGAATATTCTCATAAAAGTGCATCTTTTAATGGTGTGTTTACTTATGGTGAAACACTCAACAATGTTATGACTATAATAATTTGAAAGGAAACAGTAAAAGAGGAAAGTAGCATGCTCTGTTAAATGGAAACTTACCTGAAATAAATTACATCATTAGTAGGTAAGACTAGAAGAAAACATGTCACTCTATCCCAAATAATTATTTCTTAGAGGTTATCAGTGAAAATGAAGTTTAAAGCTGCGTATGCACACCTTTTGTAATTCTTTTTAGTATTGGTACTGAATTATTAGCTTAACTTTTGTTTCTGGAATTTCTTAATGCATTTGGCTTACTAAATTTCATTTAAGTTCCTCAACTGTTTCAGGTTAACGTGGGTTAGTACTTGAAGAGGAATGTGTGGTGTCAAGGAAGGATTTTCACTGATGTCATTATTATAGCCTTATATTTACGGCTCATCAGGAGTATTTTAACCTTGCATTTTATACAATATATTTTTTACTTTTTTTCAGAAAAGAGTATATACTGTTTGTAAAACTTTTTAGATAAGATTGATAACAATCTTCTTTTATTAATTTTTGCTCTTAAATAAGAATTCTGAGTTTTTTTGGAGAGCAGAAGTGATGTGGAAGGATTCTTAGTTTACCTTTGTTTCCTCTTTTTGTTTGTTGTTTCAAAAGGAAAGAGAATAATGTTAACAAAATGAAAGGAAGTTAAATGATATTTGACCAATAATGTTACTAATATCTTTTATTCTCTACAACTCTGTGAGATAATTGATTTTATTACCCCTAATTGGTAAGCAACAGAATTGAGGCTTGGTGAAACTGCTAGGGGTTTTCCAACTCATTAGGACCACCACTGAGATTGAGCTCAGGGCTCCTAAATCTGTGCTTTCTCCTTGAGACTATGCTGCTCTCTCCCCTCAAGATTCCCCTGTAGACACTGATCACTTCATTGTGGTGGATTTGGCAATCTTTAGATATGGGAAAAATGAGATTCCTTTTTCACTATCTAGTTAGTGAAACACTATATTGTTTTCCAGAGCTGAGTAATTTTGGAGTGATAAAGTCAGACTTTTATTTTATGAGTTACTATAATGCCATTCTGTTTCACAAGATCTCATTATAAACACCTTTAAGACCTTTATTTATCCAAAGACTTGTTACTTTCATTACTGTAAGCATGCTTCCTTCGGATCCAAACTGTGAGACAAACAAAATCACATTCCCGGGAGTTCTGGACTCATGTGTATGACACCAACATGGGAAGCTCACCTAAGCCTTGGTGCCCAGAGTTTTTATTGGGGTTTCATTTCATAGGCAAGATTGATTGAATCACTGGCCATGTGATTGCACTCAATCTCCAGCTCTCCTCCCCTACATGAGGTCAGGCTGATATCACCAGGCTCAGAGCCCCCACTCTCTAATTACAAAGTTGGTCTTTCTGGTATGGCCAAACCCTATCCTGAGTTACCTTGTTTGCATAAACTCAGATATGGCCCTTAGAGCCTTACAGCCCACCATAAATAATAAAGATATTCTATCATTCTAGGAGTTCTAAGGATTTACAGTTTACAGAAATTTATATGATGCATTAAAAATCACGTAAAAATATTAGAAAGAAATCTAGTGGACAAATCTATAAACATTAACCAACTTTATAAAAATATTCCAGTCACATTTTAAGAGGTGACTTCCTTAAATGTACAGGAGGAAAATTACACATGTTAGTTTAATATTAGATCATGGATTTAAACTAGTACATTTACACTTAGCATCTGAATATAAGATCATTTCTAAAACCACAAAGATTATGTCAAAGAAGCATAGAATTTTAAATCTGAACCTTTGTGTCTAGTTGTACAACCCCTTTATTTCACAGTGAAAGAAATGAAAAATAAGATTCCTATACTAAGGTAATTATTTCTTTCCAATTCTTTTATTTCAAATCATACTAGATGCCATAATTTACCCAGGAACATTCTAATATTTGCAAAATTAGCATTCAGTACCAAACCTTAATTCTCTAACCTAGAGATAATTCTGACTTGACTGGTTTTGTTCTAGGTAAAGAAGGAATTCAGTTCCTTTTGAAAAGTAACTTTACATATATTGGGCCACCGTCACTGCCATTTCTTACTTCCTCCAATCACCACTACTACAGTACGCCTTCAACTGTCAGAGGCCCCATGGGTTCTCATCAGCTAAATTTTGTGGGTGGCCCATTAGTGTCACCATAGGAAAAGGGTTTGTCTTTAAAAGCTTTAAAATGCTCATTGAGTTCAAAGGAATAGTTTTATAATTTTTTCTACTCATATATATATACACCACAATATATATATATATGGTATGTGTGGTGTGTGTGCATGAATATACACACTCATGTCCTTTATATTAAAAAGTTCCAATTCCATTTTTCAAACATGCTCCTATCATCTGGGAAAACATTTTCTTTTCTTTGTGAAATAATCTCTTAAATAGACATAGCTATTAAAGAAGACACTTTAAAAAGCAAAGCAAAGGGATTTTTTCTAGAAGCAACTCCACATACCACCAAATGCCAACATAAGGAAATTTTATCATAAACCCATTTAAATTATAAACATAAATTCTCAATACTGTGAGACAGTTAACCAAAGCAAGAACTTCTATCTATATACTGGTAAAGTGGGACATTCTAATTAAAATAACCTGCAGAAAAGCATACGTTTTTTCAAGCGAAGCTGTAATAAAATTTTTGTTTTTTCATGGTAGAGTGCAGAATGTCTGATTTCGAATCATTGTGGGATTTTTCTAATAATAACAGTTTGTATACTTGTTAATCTGAGAAGCATGAAAATAGGTAACAAATCTAGTGATTAATGGAAATGTAAAAGTTTCTTCTATTTAGAAAGATTAAAATCAAGAAAATTCTTTAAGTAAAGTACAATTCTTAATTGAAGAAATAATTTAAATAAATTCTCTTACTCACAGCAGTGATGTGGCAGCACTTTCATCCTCCACTACTGCTGACTAAACTGAGTTTTAAATGATGAATGGAGTTGATGAGAGGAAAGAGGCGTTCCAGTTGCGGTGGACAATGTGTACAGTGTACAACAGAGATATGAAGAGAATCATCAGAAATCAGGCTAGAGGGGAGAATGAATGCTGATAGGACTTGAAGCTGTGTAGGTAGACTGGGACCAAATTTTGAGAGCCTTTTAAGCCTTATGTGAAGGAGTCTGACAGATAGTTAGATAATGACAACCCACTGGCCATCCATTTTCCCTGTGTTCAGGTGCTTCATATGCTTCCTTCACCTCCTGTATTATTTAGATCTAAAAACAAAGCTATCCATACCTGCTCCTTTTTTCAAATCCATTCATAGCATATTTCTACAATTCAATGCACTTAGTAATCTGATAAAATGGTTCTCTGTATGTAAAATTGATCTCTAACATGAAGAAAAGTCATTACTAGTTCAAAGGAAACTTATTTGGGTAGAAGTTTTTGAAGACTATAAAACAATTTAAAAATACAGATAGAGTGCTCACTTCGGCAGCACATATACTAAAATTGGAACGATACAGAGAAGATTAGCATGGTGCCTGCGCAAGGATGACATGCAAATTCGTGAAGCGTTCCATATTTTTTATTGTTGTAAACAACCATTTGATCAATAAATATGAGAGGTGCCTCTCAAAAATAAATAAATAAATAAAAATATCTCTAACACCAAAATCAGTCAAAGGCAGAAATAAAGTTAAGAAGCCTGTTTATTTCTTAAAAAAAAAAATACAGATAGAAAAGTACAATATCATTCAGGACAAAAATACACATCTACCAGTGAAGCCATCGGAGTTCTTTTTATAAAAGACACGTGTCATCTTTTATGCCTGTTCAATTTTTCGCTATGCCAGAGAGACTGTATCAGGATTAATGGACCAGCTCAAATGAAGAACAATCACAATTATACCAAGGTTATCCCAAGACCTGTCCAAAATAATCCAGATGTCACATAGATTTATTTTTAGAATTTAGACCTGGTCAGGATCAACTGAACAGAAGAAAGCAGTGTGTGGTGTGTGTGAGTGTGCGTGTGTGTGTGTGTGTGTTGTGTGTAATTTTAAAATTATAATTTTTGAACTGAACTCATTTTATGTATACAAGCTTAACTTCAAATGTATACATTTTATGCATACAAGTTCCAACTTTAAAGAAAATTGCTCTATAAAATTTTTTCACATTTTCTAATTGCTTCTACCAAGGCAGGGGACATGATCTATTACTGGACCACATGCCAAGGTACCAACAAAAATGTGGTAAACTTTGTAGCAACTGGGCAGTAGGCAAAACAAAATCCTGTTAACAGGTCTAGTGAACTCAGAATATGTTCTTTCTCTCTAATAAATGTTGATTGTATTTAGTGGGAAATGCTGGATGTTGTTTATAGCAAATGTTTGTCATTTAACTTACTGAAACTGTGAAACAGGACAGGTGGCTATGACAGAGCACTGAATGCACTCTTTCAAAGTATTCATTAAAATCACTAGTCCTGTCCCACCAACACTTACACACAATGTGTCAACATCAAGACTGGTGGAACGGCTACCAGGCTTCCTGAAGTCTAGATATATTATTTATCACTTTAATTTTACAACACAATTAAGTAAAGATAGATTTAAGCAAATGTATTTACAGTACATTTGAAAAATTCTGGCATAAAAATAGAATGATGATACAACTTCCCACATGCTAATTAACATTTGCTTGATCTTAGGAGCATGGCATTCCTACCGGCATGGGCTACGCTGTAGCCCCTCACCACTCAGGCGTCTACCCTGTACATGTTCAGCTTTATGAGGCCTAGAAGAAGGTTTGGAATATTAGAATCACCAGCACTGAAGAACATCCACATCTAAAACCAGCTAGATACAGGAAGGGCTTCATGCACAAAAACATCATGGTGAGCTGCCTCCGGTATGCATAGGGTACAACTAATTCTGCCAGATTTACATTCCTCATTAGAAGAAAGAATGAGAGAGAAGAGCAGAAATGTTACAAGCTTAACTGTAGGAAAAGGTCCATGTTGCAGGAAACATATTTGTCATATCTAAGCCAATGATGTCTTAATTAAAGTTACTTCTCAGTTCTTCGAACAGAACTTTAAAATGATTTTTACTGACACTACCGCTATTAAGCAGGCATGACATTAAAATACTAAGGAAACATTAAACCTAAACTGCAGATAATTTAGAGAAGCCACTATTTCTTCAAAAAGTTAGTGTGTAAAACCAACTTTTTTAGTTTAATATATTAACCATACTGCTCTTTCACAAGCCAAACTCTGTTCTCTTTACCATGTCAGACTAAAAAAAATTTCAACTATTTACAGCGTGAAGCTTCATGTGAAGTCCTGCATAATCATTAACAGGTCATAATAAGAGTACAAATTAGAGATATATTAATTAAATCATTTAATTATCCACTGTCAAATTCTCTCCAAAGCTTCTCTATTTTGTTTTGTTTTGTCTTTTTACACTGGTGACAAATGCATATTGTCAGGATATGTTATTACCTAGTACTTTGTGGGACCTCCCAAAGTAAGTAATCAAATTCTAATTTTTTCCCAAATCAGAAAATCCAAAGAGTACTATTGAAGTTAGGAATGGGTCTCCTGCTTTAGACAAACACTGGGAAGGAACACCAAGTATGAAGAACACTGGCACTGTAACTGTCTGTCAAACCATGTTTGAACAGATGTCTACCCTCCAGAATTAGATGTAATCTGATTGCTTTTCAGTTTTCCAATGTCTGCAAAAATTACAGAATGAGTAATGACATTTAACTTGGATTAACTCCCATCTTGACTTTTCCCTCAATAAAAACGGTTATAAATGCTAGATGGGGCCATAATGGCCATATTTTATCCCAAACTGCCCTTTTTATTGAAAATGAACTCACTGTGCCTCAAGCTGCCAGCCTTCTGACCAGAAAGAGTTTAGAAAGCCTGGATTATATTATAATTTAAAAGCATTCAATACCTCCTGTCGTTTTTAAATCATATGCAGTCTTAGTAGAATAGTGAATCTAAGTCTGTAAGGACTTTATTCAATGTTATTCTCTTTTGTTTCTGTTATCCTGTCTGCTGCCGGCAAACCTGCTTGGATATGTCACATGAGATACACTCATTTTCATTTCTCATGAAAACATATTTTATCTATATCATAAATGCATGAATCTTGCAGGTGATAAAGGCTCTAACAGATTTCCTGTTCTGACAAAACTGTCCCTGTGGTTCCTTCCACTTTTGCATCAATCTATGGAAACCCTATAGATTTGCTTTGGAGGCTCTTGGATGAGAATGTGCAAATGGGAATTGTTCGGCAGGCAGCTGTTGATGCAGTCGAGAGAGAAAGGACAGGGCCTGGAGTCACCCGAATAGAGCTGCCAGTTAGAACACAAGAGCCAACATGTTCCATTGGGCAGAGACTACAGAGGAGAAAAGATCAGGGAAGGGAGGGGTTGACCTTACTTAGATCAAACATATTTTCTTGTATGAAATGAGAGGAAACTTTATTGCCATTAAAGTTGATTCATTCATAAATCAAAATTATATGAAATTAAATGAAACTCACAATCTTCCCTTTGAGCCAGCTATTGATCCTGCTGTCCCTAATTCAGTTCTGTAATTTGAATATCACGTCACCTCCCTCAACTTCCAATCAGTGTCTACATTTCATCAATAATTCCTTTAATAATTTTTTTATTTTCTTCCCTCTCCCAGAGCCTAACTGACTACTTTGACTTTCACATGTAAACTATGGTACTGGTTCCCACTTTGTCTATTTACAGCTCCTCCCCATGTCCCACTGCAGTCTATCCTACAGACAGTGCCAGCCTTTTAGTCTTTCTAAAATGCCACCTTCATTTGGCCTTCCTAACCTTGATTACTTCCAATGATTTACACATCCCTTAACTTGCTCATTCAGGAACCTGAAAACAATTTGTAATAAGTCTACTTTTTATCTTCTATTTCCTATAGCTAACACAGACTCACTCCTGCCAAAAAGGTCTGAAACAGTTTTATTATGTCCATGCCTTTGTTGTTCTTTCCACCTCAAAAGACTTTCTGACCACTTTTTACTTACTCCTATTTCCTTTGTTTCTCATATCAAGTCCTGTTTTTTATATAACTTAATGTAAAGTACCTTGTTCTATGGAATTTCAATACCATAGAATTAACCCAGGCCTACACTGATCTTATTCTCCTCTGAATTCCTATAACATCACCTTATAACTCCACTAGGAACATAAAAGCCTGCTTTGCAAGGTGTTTGAGCCTGAACCAGAGTCTCTGAACACCCGGTCCTATCGCGTTATTTTGTCTATCTTCATTCAGTAGGGAACTGATGGGAAGCAGGATTCTCTACCCTAACCCCTGGTTGTTAAATGTGATTCTCTTGAGAAAAACATGAGAGCTCTAAGCAACTGGACTATAGATTCTGATTATCTACTTACTGTTCTTAATGGAAATGCGCTTTGATAGAGACTCTTATCAATCCTGCTGGCAGCATCCTAGATAGTCTCTAATGGTAGCTTCCAGACACATTTGATGCCAGTTATTCCAGATTTAGGCCTTAGGTACAGGAAACTGGCTTCACAGAATGTGTTCAGTGTCCTGGAGCATTATGTTCAGGGAGCAAGACGATGGACCATGGCCATCTCCTCAGCCGCCTGTGGCAGCCTGCTGGTCATCCCAGAGCTTATGGTGGCTCTCCTCCTCTCAGCAGGTGTGCTTCTCCCCAGAGATGCAGAGTGAAGCCTGATACTTCTTTTTCCCTGGGTTCAAACTCAAACAATTTGAGAAATAAACAAAACTCAACTTTCTTTTCACTTCTTTCTCCATTTTGCACAGAATCATCTAGGCAATCAAGTCCCAAAGATGGTTCTCTATGTTCCCATAATTTTTCAAACAAGACACTCAAACTGAATCCTAAAAGTAATTCAAAATCATGAACTTCTAAAATGAAAAATAACCTGGCATTTAATCACATGTAGGCATATCATTATTTAGCTTTTGGGTATTTCTCCTTACTCCACACTGTAAATCCTTCAAGAGTAGAAAGCATATTTTTTTGTGTTCTCCCACATGGACTTAAATAGAGTTTAGAATATGTATTTGTTAAATAAGTACATAAATGCATGCTTTATAAAGCTTTGATTTCTAGGAAATCACATTTCCATGAATTGTTAGGGAATATATTTAATTCAGTTAGAAACTTCACATTTAGTTCTTTTTTGTCCTTGATTTTGTATATAACATTATGAGAATGTATGTTTTTAAACATAGATACCATTAGAGCTAATACTCAGCAATAAACTGAAGTTCTATTAACTATTTTATAAAGATAAAATAGCTTTTAAAGATATAACTTTCACTAATTTATCAAAATAAGTAACAAAGTTTTCATTTATGCAGTAATATATGATGTACTGATTGATCTGAGAATTATATTTTCTAAGAAAAACCTTCCAAGTGCTAGATTGAAATGTATTATAACACACCTTCAAACTAAAGAAAAAGCTAGTATATTTGTAGAGAGTTGTAAAGCATGGGATATCCTTTACAGGTATTATTTTAAAAGCACTTACTGACTCAAATGTGCTTTAAGAATAAAAACAGAAAATGTAAAGATCAATTTGCTGAGGACTATAAGCAGAAGATCTGTTTGTGACTCTGTATACTGTAGCTCTCCAAAGTATATTCATTAATTTTCTACTTTACATGTAGTGTGATAGACACAGGTCATAAAGAAGTCATTATATAAAATTTAGCAAAAGATTGTGCCATTTTATAGGGCTTTAACTCACACTTTCTTTTATAATTGCAGATATTTTACCAGAAAAGCTGTAAGAATTAGAGAAACACTTGTCTTTATCACAAATGTATATAATTGAAGCAAATAATGCCTCTTATATACAAAAGCTGAAAAGATGACTATACTAAGAGATCTTTTTTGATTTGTTTGTAACACTTCATAAAAATTACTAACAAAACACATAATCACTTTTTTTTTTGGAACTGGCAAGCTTCAGACTTAGAATTTGGAGCCTACTATAACCTGCAGTCATCCTTTCAGACTAGAGCAGATACTATGATTTGTGTCCCAAATTCTTGCTCTAATTTAAAATGTCATTTCCTAAAAATCACATTAATAGTTGACTTCATTTTCTAATGTGTGTGTAGAATCTGGCAGGAAGTGTTATCCTTAAAATTTCTGCCTGCTAGATTTACAATGTAACACGAACAATTCCAATATTTAAAAATTTTTTAAGTCTCCTTTTACTTCTTTTCTGTTTTATTTTTAAGATGGTAGAACATACTAGGCTTCATAACACTGACTTGAAGATTTAAAATAGATAAGTAGCTAAAATAATCCAGGGTCTATCCTAGTTTTAGAAGGTTTCTTTAGCTTTCTTCAGTATTCCTTCGGTACTGACATCATCCTCACTTTCTGGACCTTAGTTAAGAGTTGAATAATGACATCAACTTGTGCATCATTTTTCATGAAGAAAAAAATGTAAGTTTCAAGAAATTAATTGGTTGAAAGAAACTTTTTCCTTACTTGTTCATTCTTTTTTCAGGTTCTTCCAAGACAAACCTGTGGGCTTTTCACTCACACAATCTTCTACAAAGAATATCCAGGAGGTCCTAAAGAGCTGGACAAGAGTATTCAAGGAGGTGAACTTTTCTTCACTGTAGTCCTCAACCCAGTAAGTACTTTGGGTTACTCTTCAAATAAATAATAAAAAATGACAGTGTGAATGAAAATTACCCTGACAAAGAGGCCAGGGTTTGGGTAGTTATCAGCCAAATCAATACAAAGTTCCAGTTCTAACAGTAGTAATAAGACAGGGACCATGGATGTAGTCAGAGTAGGGTGAGAGCCTCCGGAAGGGGCAGGGTGGGATATTTGCAGTCAGATAAATGTAACTACATACAAGGTAACCCCCCTACTAAAACTCTATGTTAAACATTAAGCTCTAGACTCATTCTTCAGTGAGATCAGTTAATGTTCCCCAGATAAAGAAGAGTAGCACATGTTTTATTATGCTAATCATTTGTAGCCATGTGTAAGATTCACTTTAGCGTGCTAAAAGGCTCAGGTCTATGTGCTGTCTTTCCTCCTTCAGATCTGACAAGGTGATTTTGCAAACTGAGCAACTAACTTAGCACGCAGACCCAGCTGTAAACGGCATGGTAAAAGGCAGGAAGAATTCCATCTTAAAGATAAGATTGCATTTTAACACCCAGGAAGTTCAAGAGGCAGGACTCTAGCAAGTAGACAATACCTCAGCCCACCTTGGGGGCTGGGCAGGCAGCCTTTTGTTATGCTTCCAGACCAAGGCTCCGGTGTCCCAGAGAGAAATCAAGGCAGGAAATTCCTTACAGTTAAGTTAATTTTTAATATTCAGGAACCACTTACCAAGTCCCCACCCCTAAGTTTCTTCATTTTCTCGAGAAATCCTCAACTGCCTATAAAACCCCCTAGACAACGCACCACTACCGACTCTCTTGTCCCCTCCTGGTGTGAGCTGGGAGCTCTGTCCTTTCACTTTATCTCTAAATAAAAGCCTGTACCTTGCTCTCCTACCTTGACTGTTTGTGAAGCTCATTCTTAGGCTCTGCAAACAAGAACCCCGGCATCATTTTTGGGGGCTCGTCCGGGATAACTTCGGAGGTGAGTATCGGCATCCAAGTCCGCCTTTTCTTTTGCTGTTCTTATAGAAGGAAGCCGTCTGTGGCACACAAAATCGGGGGCTTGTCAGCCACTTAAATGGGACTAGCCTGGCTGCCGATCTCAAAGCGTCCAGCGACTGGTTCCCCTGCATCTCCCTCAGTGGATCCCCCGTCTCCCTTGGGAGCTGGGAATGTCAGCTGAGTAGAGGCCAGGATTCCCCTTCAGAGGCATCTCCTCGGATATGAGGGACTGAGGAAAGCCGTGGGCACCTGCATGAGTCTAGGCTGAGGCTACACTTCAGCAGCTTCTCAAAGTCCCGTGTGTCTGGAATCAGACCCCGACAGCCCAATTGCATGTCCGTGAGGAGTGACTCTCTGTCTCTGCTTCTGACCTCCAACCTGCTTCTTCAGGCCGCCCTGGCGTCAGTGAGGCAGGGGGCGTTCCTACCTCCCTTCTAACTTCATCAATTTCATGGAGCCCGATGCTTACCACCGCAAGGTAGGAGATCCACGCTTCGCTCTTATTCCTAACTAAATGCTGTACTTTTTCTCATAAAAATGTGTCTGGGCACCCGTTAGCCACTTAAAAGATGATTAGCGTAGACTACCAGTCTTAAGTCTTGGGTGAAAGGCTTCCCGGTGTCTGCCGCTCCTTGATCCCCCGCCTCTAGACAGATGGCAATGTCAAGGAGTGGCTGAGACGATTTCCTACTTTCCTATCCTAATCTGCAGACTCTGAGGGCAGACCGGACTAGTAGACAGTGGTCCTTGGATCTCGGCTCTGGCTGATTGATCCCATGGTGCTAGGTGAACCTCCAGCTAGGCTGCTGCCTATGCGAGAGTTGTAGATGACCCCTGACCTCTTGTCTCAGTGATCAGATTTGTTATAGTGGGTGACTGGCAAGATAATTTCCAGGCAGTGGCAGAAACTGGTGTTTGAGAGTATAGGTGCCCCCCACCCCCCATAAATGTTCATGGCAGCCCTTGAATTTTATTTCTGGCCTTAGCAAAAAATTCCCTTGTTCCCCATTCAAAGCAGTCCTTTTAGGCCTGCACCACTTTCTCCTGTGTAATGTAAATGAAGTCTGTAAAGTAATCAAGCTGAAACCTGAGACCAACATGTAAATGGCTCTATTCTGTTGATCTCCTTTCCTTAGAGGCAGACGTCCTGGGGCTAGGGATTTCCTTTTCTGCAGACCTGGGAAAGCAAAACAAGCTTGTGACTTAGATCAGGGCTCTGCAGCAGGAAGCCACACAGTCCCTGCACTTATCAGACAGGCAGGGGGCTCTCAAGGAAAGCTCGTGCAGAGAAAACTAGGGAAACTCCCAAAAAGCGTAAGTAGGAGCACACTGGTAAGGTCCCACTAAATTCAGAGCTCCAAGGCAACTCTTGCTTAGTGGGAAGGCAAGAGGGGAATGAAGGCAAGGTGCAGGCCACGCTGGTTAGGAGTGGTTAAATCCAGTAAGCCTGGCAGAGGAGATGATTGACCACTGTCACCCATGCTGCAAGGAGAGGGGACGCCCTCACAGAGAAAGGCTGACCAAGTGTTGCAGTGTCGCACACCTATCTTTCTCTCTTCCAGGTGGGAGCTTCCTCTTCAAGTTTAAAGCCAGACATGCCTCTGGCATGCATTCTGAGGAACTGGGAGCAATTTTGATCCCCAGACCCTGAGAAGGAAAAAGTGCTTTATCTTCTGCACACAAGCCTGGCCTCAATACAAACTCTCTGATGGAGAGGCTTGGCCCCTGAGAGAAGTATACAATATAATAAAGTTATTCAGCTAAATCTATTTTAATGCAAGGAAAGAAAATAGTCAAAAGTCCCTTAGACTATAATGTGGAACTAGTTTTGTAAATTATTTTGGTAGAAAATCTATTCTGCTTATTGGGTTCATTATCTTAAAAAATTGAGAGGTTTTTAAACTAGACTCACTGAAACAGAAGAAATGTATCTTCTGTAGTACAGCCTGGCTTTAAATGACTGGAGCTAGAATTGTGCTTGCATTTCATTTCCCACCCCCAGGACACACACAGTCCCTATCAGTTCAAAGTCTTCATCGGTCCTGTTAGTCTGGGGCCATCTAAACCTTAACCCAGTTATATAAACTGCTCACCAGTAGAGTGTATTCTTGAAAACTGAGATACTTTTAGTCAAATAAGCTAAAAGGAAAGGCAATTGGATATCAGTAACTCAAGTCTCTGTGTCAGTTTATCTGTCTGTGTATATGTTCTTTTTACGAAGAGTGTTGCTAAGTGTAGTCATTATGTCTCAGTCTGTATCTTTGTGTGCCTAAGCATGTAGATAAAAGATATTCCTACCTCTGGATGGTATTAATGAAACTGATTTAAAGACAAGCGTTTGTAAAAATTGGGCATTCTAAAACTTCCAGAGAATTCTAATGGAAAATATTAAGCATTAATGCTAATTTAAGTTGAACTGAAATGGACATGTCCTTAGGGTTATCAGCTGCCTAAATTTACCTAAAGTCATTTAAGTTGATGTTATTTGCTAAATCTTTCAAGAATAAAATGCTTAAAAGCCTGACTTTGTCTAATATTCAGTAAATGTCTTATAAGTAATCTAGCATAGTTAGAAATTAGTGAAGTAAATAAGTGTGGCAAGTGAACGCCTTAATAATTGTGTTACAGTGTGTATACCTACCTACAGCCTGAGAATTTTTGTGGTAACCTAAAACCTTAAAGTTTTGCTAAGTTAAGAAGATATACTTTGTGCTTAGTGAGAAATTGTGTTGTAAAGCTCATGGTTACAGAAATTATAAAATGCTCATATATTTGTCAATCTAAAGAATGCTAGTGTAACAGTTTACAGTAGCCTGCTTCTCAGTGTTTACTAAACATTACCGTACCTAATAGTTTTAAGTTCTAATAGTTAACTCTGATATGTTCCAGAGGGCCCCTGGAACATATCAGAGGAATTTTTTCTCATTGGAGAAAGTATTTGACTAATTTGGCTTATTTATTTGATATATAATTACCTGCTTAATTTCCTGGAAAGCACTGTCAAAGGGAATGATGCTAAACTTTGTTACTTAATGTTTTGTGTTACAGAAATATCCGAATTTCCTTATGTCAACTGTCTTACAGTAAGCTCTCATTAGATCTTTAACCATTATCATTTGTAAGTTTTGTCATTTTATAGTCACTGTTTTATTACTCCTAAACTAGTAAAGAACTAGATTTCAGGAGAACAGGTATTGGTTACATAAGATTAAGTAAACTAAGGAAGATGATTTTGTGGCTTTTTGTTTCAAATGTTGCTGATAAATTGTTTTAAGCTTTTTCTCTTAAACTGACAACAGTTTAGTAAATGACTATCTTTATAAGCAGAATTAAAACTTTATCTTTCTCTCTACCTGATCCCTCCAGAATTTAAAAACTTTCATTGACTATTTTTATATTTCATGGCAGTATGTTTATTTGCATAAGTTCAATAAGAACCTGCTTTCCTTGTAAGAGGACCAATTAAAAAGACAGATTATACTACCAAGGCTTTGACTGGAATGTCATACCTGAGAGACACATGCATAAAACTCAGATATGAACAGCTTTAAGGAACTAAGGTTGACTTTATAAAGCCAACAAAGCCCCTTGGAAGAACTGGCCTGGTACCTTGCTTACAGGGTTCCCAGCAGCCTTACCAGGTGAGTAAGGAAGGTCACTTCCTGGAAGGTGCAGGAACTTCAGGATGTCTTGGGAACCTCAAGAAGAGAAGAATTCACCCAAATGTACAGGTACTGCAGGCACAACCTGATGGCAAGTCTTACTTGGCTTTCTGGCCTCGAGGCCTTTAAAAGTTCAACCTGAAATTCCTTATAAAAAGTTCCAGCAAAGCACATTTAAAAGAGCCTGTGTAATCAATTGCTCTTCTTGTTGTACTTATGCAAATAATAAAGCCAAGTGTTAATTATTTTCTTAATCTGGCTACTTCTAATAAAACTGAGGGTGATTTTGGAGAAAAGTATTGTTTCAATAATGCAGCCTTGTCCATACTAAACCCTAGTACTAGTCATTG